CTGTCCTAAAACATGCTGCCAGGTGAAGTTTCTTTTTCTTAAAAAAATTTTATCATAAATTTTCACCGTTTTTTAACATCTGACCAAAAATGACATTTTGCCGCAAATTTACGAAAAAAAAATTCTAAAAAATATTTCAAACGCTTTAATTTGATGAGACACATGCAGACTTATTAAATCTTAAAAAAAAAAAATCCCAAAAATTGTTTTAGTTGTAAAACACACTTTGGTAAGTATAATTGTAGTAGAGATTATATAACATAGGCAGTTTAAAAAACTTTTGATTTTAAATGTTTTATTTAAAAAATTAGTAGACATCAACATTTACAAACAACACAGTCAGATGTGACTAAGGTCAAATTAACTTTTTTTAATGACTAAAAGAGGAGAAAAATCAGCCTGGAAAAGCAGGAGACGCGCACCACCACAGCTTTGTCCCTGTTACAGCGTCCACTTCAAACACCTGCAAAGACGGTGAGGACGGAAATTCAGAGTCAATTCAAATATGTCCTCCTTCTGATAATCTATAACTGCAGACAGAAACACAGACAAGGAGGAGGGTTGCTGCCCCAAGGGGTCTGTTTGTAGTAAATCTTAACAAAAGTTCATGGACACTGAATTCAGAAAATAATAGAGATTAGAGTTTACTGATGGAGGCAGCAGTGGAACAACAACTGCTGTCTGTTCTGCCACATGATTGTTTTGTTCTAAGGACAATGGTCCCTAAAAAGACTCCCTCTTTCATTTTTGTTCTTTTTCCTCATCCTAGACTCAACTCTCACTCTCCCTCCCTCTCCAAGGTATGTCGGTGTCATTGCACTCACCTGGTCTCTCGGTGCGTGATCAGGCACTTACTGCAGCAGAACCGCCCCCCGCAGGTGGTGCAAGTGTAGTGTGAGGGGAATCCACAGACACAGCAGAAGTGACGGGGCGGCAAAGAGGAGGGTGGAGCCACAGCTGACAGGTAATTTGGCTCCAGCTTTTCAGAGAGGTTCTGCAATGCAGAGTAAAGAGTCAGCTGACCGAAGGCTAGCCAATGAGGGAATAGGAAAGGAGAAGACAAGATGGACGAGTGACCTCCTCCTCCAGCAAGGTGGTGAAGTTCTTTCTGAAACGCTGTTTGAAATGGTCACCTCTGGTCTTCCTCCTCCTCTTCTCTGGACAGAAGAAAAAATACAAAGACAGAGAGGGCATGCTCAAAGGTTTTCCTTTAACGTCCTCATCAGGGCAGAGACTATGGACAGAACACAACTACAGAGACTCACCTGGTTCTTCTGTCTCACTGAAGGCAGGGAGACGAGCAGCTGGACCAGGAGGAGGCAGTGAAGACAAAGGGTCGTCCTGAAGGAGACAGAACAACAACCATATTTCAGCAACAATACAGTTCAAATGACAGTTGGGATAAATTAATAAGATATGGCGTATTCTAAATGTGATGTAAAATCAAGTTTTAAACTTATTCAGTTAAATCTGTATTGATATGTTCTGCAACGCAAAATTACACCCTTAAATCAATTTACAAGTACTGCTGTTAAGATCCAGAGAGTCGGTTGTACCCATGGTGCCTTTGGGTTTGCGCCACGTACTAACTATCTTCCAAAATATTGAAATAGCTCTTATCTAATAATTTGTGCTACATTTGTGCTGGTTTGTGCTGTAAAAATGTCCATTTGTTTGTGTACTTAAGCTTTGGAGTAATTAAAATAATATATTTTCTGACCTGTGATGTCACACACCCCGCCCCCGCCCCCCCAAACTGGCCTCCGTTGATTGTGCCATCAAAATAAACGTTTGTATCACTTGGTTTGTAGAGTTGTTTGATTTTTCACACGCGTGACATCACTAGCCCCCCTCCACGTCCAAATCTCTTCTAGTCTCTATTGTTTGCTGTATTTTTGCTGGTTTGTGCTGTTCAAACAAACATTTGTGCTTTATGATTTTTACAGCTTATTTTTTCATACTGTACACGTGATGACACTACTGTGTACTATGTTTTTTCTACTGTGAGCTGCCAAGCAACAACATCTCATTAAATATATGCACTGCTGGTGTATTGTTGATTGACAATAAAAAACAAAATGCAGTGTCCTGCATGGAAATACAAACTATTAAAGGATTTTGAGCTTTACACTGCTATTATTCTGCACATACACTAACTGTATGACTGAGGTCTCTGCCTTAAGACAAACGCTTTGTTATTCATGCCTTACAAAGACATTAAATTGAATTGAAACAAACTTTATTAACTATTTCATTATCTATGAACTTCACTATAAACAGTTGAGCAATGGCTTAATGTTTCATGCAATTATCTGCCATTTAATATTACTTATTGTAAACCACTGGTCAGTGGAAGGTGAAAGGATTATTGACCTCCCAAAGAACTTGAGTGATGAAATTGACTGACAGGAATCTTCATTTCTTTGTACAGCACAGACCATCTTAAACCTTGCACAAAAGATGGACTCTTGTTTGAAGAGATTTGGATGGAGAGGAAGGGGTGGTGACGTCACGTGTGTAAAAAAATAAAACAGTGATAACTTTACAAACCAAGTGATACAATGGAGTCCAGTTTGGAGAGATTTGGAGGGTTACATCACATGTCCGAAAATGTATTTTTTAAATTACTCCAAAGCTTTAATAGCACAAATGAAAATGTTAACGGCACATATCAGCACAAACGAACAACAGTGCAATTTCAAAATTTTGGATGTTGGATGTTTGGATGATAATTATTTATCGTAAGCAGGGTTTTTTTTTTAACTTTATGAAGCTAAAATACACAGTTCACGTTTTCCCACTTTCTCAGTGTGTGATAAATAAAGATTTCACTTGTTGTAAATATGACTATAGTATTTTAACTTTTCAAAACATTGTAATATAAACAACGAAATATACTTTCTATATTATACCGTGTCTCTCTTCTAGCAACAAAACGAATAAGCAATTCACTTCACATAAATATATACACAGTTTGAGATTATTTTCAAGTCTATTTTTTCATTTTACAGACCTGAAAGTTGTCTTTTTCCAATGCCTCCAGCTGCCGAGTCAGTCTCCTCTGTCTGGTCGCTTCATCCAGAACCCGACGCGGACCTGCCTCTACTCGAGCTGGAGGACAGAGAGAGATTTGCCTTAAAATACTTACGTTCTATGTCCATTTCTGCGGTTAACATTCAGAAAAAATATGCTTTTTTGGTACGCCAACTTTGGATCACAGTAAAATACTATAGCAATAAGTTCCCAAACAAATCTCCGAAAATAAAGGTTTCTCAAAAACGACTAAAACAGTGGACGTTCTTAACGCCCGAGCAGAAATTTATGAAGGAATATGAAAAAAGTAAACTGACTGTTTAACTTGGGAACTGAACAACATTGTTTTAACTTTTGTTTTTAATGTTTCGCTACGTTTTCATCACATTTAGAACGCACGAGTCGAATTCACTCTGAATCACTGCTAAAAGCGATTCGTTTATATTGTCGACCGGGAGCTGCTTAAAATGTTTGTCTTTAGCTTGAAATAGTCGCATTGGGATAAGGCTAGTTAGCTGTTGGGGAGCTAATTTATACCAACAACGTTCGCTTGGTACAGGGAACTCAACTTGTGTCTCGTTTAACGTCGGTGTTTAAATTAATCAACAGAACGTAATCTTATATTGTGTAAAATCACATTTGTGTTTGTGATTTATTTAATACACACTTACCGGATGTTTTCTTCTCCAGCACCATTGTGGATAATTTGTACTTCCGTGTTACGGCAACAGCAGAAGGACAAACTTTCAAAGTTCGAGTCTTTTGTTAAATACAACAATAAAACATCTCACAACGTCCCAAAACAGTAGGTTTTTAAACCCGAGTGCACATTTGGAGCATGAAGTTGTATTATTGCTTTATTTTTCCACGAAATTAATAGTATAGTGTGTTATTTTTGGTAATTTGGAATCGCAAGATGAGTTTTATGACATGAAAACAAAATACACAACACATACTTTGAACTTGGACTTAGTTGTAACAATTTGTTGCAAACTTACCCATTTAATCGTGTTTAAATGTATTAATTCTTTAGTTAGAGTTACTTAACACTGCTCACAATGAAACAGATCAGTCTACATCTTTCATACTAATTAAATACAATGCTTAGTAACTTGCGTTTCACTGAAGCCGTTGAACAGTTAACGGGCGGAGTTGTCACTACAGTGTTAACTGGCAGGATGCACATCGGGTCCATGCTTCTCTGGACTTTACTGTCATTTCCTTCACCAACTTGCAATGAGCCTGCTCCAATACTCCGCTACTGGGCTTCTCCGGCTTCGCCCCAGCTTAATGTTTGTTTTTTAATGCTGTGTTATTATCTTTGTATTCACTGTAAGGTGTCCTTGGGTGACAGAAAGGCGCCTATGAAATAAAACGTATTATTATTATTATTATTTAACTTTTATGGACAAATTTCACCAGTTGTAGTTTTTTTATTCCATATAAAACCACCTTTTTTCTTGCTCTATGTTTGAGCTCGAAGGAAAAAAGCAAACAAAGAAAAAAAACCCAGACAGACAATGTAAAAGTTTGTTTCAGCTTCATTCAAATTTACATCTTAAATTCCGCACTCACACACGCACACGTACAGGATCCCAAATGTGCCAGAAACTAACAACAAAAATCGCACAGTTTAAAAAAATAGCAATAAGTTCTTTGTACACCTGCACACACATCAACTGTTAACATGATCCCAAAAACCTGGCATGTAACACATTCACTCCCAACACAAGGTCATCAGCATTGAAGCTACAGAGAGTGCTTTTTATAAAAATGTAGGATCACAGTAGTTCAAATAAAATGGCTCTTTTTTTCTTGGAATAAATAAACAGTAGGGACAAAATGACCTTCATTATAAACAATAAGCTGCTTCACTGAATTCCACGTCTTCAAGATGTGTCATGACTTGACAATAAAATAAAACAAACAAACATGTTGTTGAATAAACATGAACTCACCAACACACACATAAACCCAGAAAAGTTATTTCCTCATCTGCTCCCCCAAAATAATAAACATTTTTTGTTTTTGTAACTTAAAACCCCAAAACAACCGGCTGCACTATCACAACACCATCAGCCTTCAGCTGCACGGACTCCCAGGTGTAAATATTTAGGTCATTTTTTTTTCAGAGGACAGTTTGACAGTTAAAAGAGTTAAAAATGGGATGTGTCCGTGAGATGGGCAGAAGTGGTGAAATCCAAGAGGCAGCAAAGGTATGTCAGGAGCTTTTAACGTCTCACAATAGGAAGGACACAGGAGTAAGGGAAGGAGAAGACAGAGAGACATCTGGACAAAAGGGACTGCTCTCCCAGAATTAATTGTGGCTGGCTGTGGGAGGACAGTTCAAGGGAGATGATGGAGAAAGAGAGACAACAGGAAGTCACTGAGGAGGAATGAGGTGAGTAAGAAAGAAAGGCCAGCAGCAATTTCATTAATTTTTTTTGTCTCTCATCATCTACTTTACAACAGTTTCCTTGGTTCCAGCCCGAATAATAAGGAGGTTCAGAACTTTTTAGGGCCCCAGGCCGATGCTTGTTTTGGGGTCACCCCTGTTCCAAACATAGGGAAATCCTCTGCACTGCTCATGTCAGGAGCCTAGAAGAAAATATAAAGGAATCAAAATGTTATTTTGGTATTTGGTACAGTGATGCTTTTTTATGGCGTAACTCTGAAATACCTATGAAGCTCACTAGTGGGCCAGAACTCTGCTCTTAAGAAGCACAACAACGACTAGAATCTAAAGACACAGCTTCTATTTGTCATGTTTACATGTCATCAACGTGAGGTTGTTCTTACCAAGATTAGACTGACCTTATTGCCCGCTGCGTTCCACGGGGCGTCCCGCACCACAAAGCCCTTAGCAGGACCTCCACTGCTGTCGTCCACTCCACCTGCTCCTCCTCCTCCATAGCGAGATGGAGGCTTCATGTATGCTGCCAGTGTTTCCGTCTCCGTCACACTGAGCATCTGAGGCAAACAAAAGAGCGAAACCACTTTAGTGTTAAGACAAGAGTAGTTTAATGTCATACTGTAGAAAAACAAAGAATTACTATATTGGAGACAAAAATGTTGACTTAATAGAAAAAATTAGTGAGCATCATTGTACATTTTTGTAAGTTCACATGAACACTTAGTAAATTTGAACTGATCTGAACATCTCTGTACGAGTCTCTGCTCTCACATATTCCTCCTCTAAGTTGAGCAGGTGGTCGATGGCGTTGTCCACAGTCTCTGGAAGACCCATCACAGTCACTTTATCCGGTTCATCCGAGCCAGGTTGAGGAAACCGGATATCCACCTGAAAAAATAAAATCAGGAAGGTGATGACAAAGATTAAATCAGTTTACCTGATAAAATACTAAATTTAAAAAAGATGCAAAATAGAATTAAATAGATTCTACTTTTATTATTTTAGTAATTATACCCAAATCCTACCTTGAACTCCTCCATCAGCCTCCGGATGGCTTTGCCTCGGGCACCGATGATGCGAGCGTGGGTCCTGGGGTCCAGGTGAATGTCTTGACTGACCATCTCCTGAAGCTCATTCACCAGCTGCTGGATGGACTGACGCGCCTCCTCCACATTTCGCTCATACCCGGAGATAACGATTAGATCCTGAGGAACAATGAGAGAAGATGTAGACCAAAATACTGATTGTTGAGTATTTGAATCTCAAACAAAAACTCCAAATATTAGCAGCCTTACACCAGGTACTGCTACTTCTGCCTTGTATAAAACCGTTATTACCTCAAAATGATGAATAATACTGCTCTAAATCAAAGTTCATCTGCATATTAGAGCAGTAAAGGTTTTAAAATGTATAATAAAATAATAAAAAGAATATTTTTATTATTAATAGAAATATTTTTAAACTATTCACATCTAATACTTTTTAAAGGGGAAAAGACTTCAGAGAGAAATAAAGGTAATCAGCGTCATCACCTGCTGCTCGTCTCCTTTGTCAGGGAACTGGATGCTGACGTCATGATCCTTCCTGATTTGGGAGATCACCGCTCCTTTACGGCCAATGATTTTGGGATGGAACTTGGGATCAACTGACATGGTCAATTTGTAGCTTCGCAGAGCCTGAGAAAAAACAAAGTGCTGTGTTATGGTACAGCTCTTTCAGTAAATGAGCAGCAGATCACATGTCAGAGCAGTTTATTTCAGATAGAGATTTACTCTGTCCTCCTGCTCAGCCTGTAGCTCTTTGACCCGCTCGAGCAGACCCTGCTTAGCTCGCTCCACGTTGGCTGCCAGACCTGTCACTTTGATCACATCCAGCTGCTTCTCAGGCTGTGGAACCCAGATGTTCACCTGCACCCAATCAGCACACAAACACAAGATTAAATCAAATAAAGGTTATTTTTCTTTTATTTAAGTTCATAAGGCAAACATCAATTGATCTGTGCCTTGGGCAATAAGTTATAAAGTGTCTTGGCCAGGAGGTGGCAGCAGTGTCTAACCTAACCTCATACTCCTCCATCATCTTCCTGATTCCACTGCCCTTCTGACCAATGATGTAACGATGGAGCTCGTAGGACACCTCCAAGTCCTCTGTGATGGGAACCAGTGCCTGGAGAAAGAGAAGGAGGTGAACAAGAAAAAAAGGAAAAGAAGAAGAAGAATAAACAACTGCAGCTCTGTAGAAGAAGAAAGTTGCCTACCAGCAGGGCAGCTCTGGCCTGTTCACACTTTTCTGCTCGTCCAGAGATGGTGATGACGTCACACTTGCGAGAAACAAACTCCGCCTCTGGACTGGCATCACCGTTTTCTTGTGGTGAAGCCTCCTGACCTGTAGTTTCACCATTAAAAAAATATTAGCTAAAGACTTTTTTTGTAATTTGATTGCAAATAGGAATAGATTTTTTTATTTATTTTTGTTAACAGATATTCATAATTGCTCATTTCAGTTTTTTTTAGCTTCGATTTAGATCTGGGCGCTTTTCCTTCAGTACCAAATGTCTGACAACTATTAAAATCTTGTAAAATGTTGCTTTGTCAGGCAAATAGGATGTGCACATTTACAACTTGGCTGCAGCCTTTCCTGTTTTTGTGTTCTCAAGGTTGAGACAACACATAAACCCTTGTAGTATTGTGTTGCTGCTGCTGCTGCCGCACTTCAGTTTGTCATGTTTCTGACCTGCAGCATTTTCATCTCTCTCGGGAAACTTGATCTGAACCTCGTGCTCCCTGGTGATGTGCTGAATGCGGCAGCCTTTGGGCCCCATCACGGCACGGTGGTAGCGCTGAGGGATGGCAACCTCCACACACACCTGGGACTCCTGCTCCAGAGTGATGCAGGAGTGGAGGTAGTACATGTAATGAGAAATGAAAAAAAAAAGGCAAACATTTAGTAAAGACACCAAGAGATACACGTCAATGAGGGGAACATTTAAAATCACAACGATGAATATATATATGGTTTGATATGACAGCAGTTAATGACTACATTAAATAATAGTTGTTGTACAAATACAGAGCCTGTTTATGGTGTTTAGTGTTTAATTACAGATGTATAAAATGACAGCAAGCAAACCGTAGTGTTGTGGTATAAATAAAAAAAAGTATATATATAAGTTGTCGACTGGAATGTTTACGACACACCTCCCTTTGAGATATAGATGCTCTGCTATGTTAATTGACATGCGTTTAAGCTTTACGTGTAAATGTCACCATATGGGACAATCAGTTAACTTTTACAACAAATACATTTTACAGCCTTTTCTTTTACAAGTTTTGATTCAAATGTTAAGAGTCTGACCAGGTCCTCAATGATCTCCTGGATGCGTTTCTTTGCGGCCTCCACGCAGTCTTTGGCTCCCTTCAGTGTGACCCGCTGACTGTTGACTCCGGTTCGAGGGAAACTCACTGCAACACCGCCGTACTCCTCCGCCAGCTCCCGCAGCACCTGGCCCCTCCGACACACAAAGTGGCGGTGGTGGCGAACATCCACAACCATGCTGTCCTCTACAACATCATCCTAAGGGACAGGAGTAGGACAAACAAGGAAGAAAAGCAGATCCAAAATGAGCACAGAAGTCAGTGAATGACTCGTGCTTTCTGCATCAAATCCAATGATAGGTATTACTATAAAGGCTTGTAAATGTAATTAGGAGAAAAGTGGAGGTACCCTGACAGAAGAAACAAAATGTTTTCTCTCCTTGGCTAGGAACAATAAAATGTGATGTCACTTTCCCTAATTAAAATCTTTCTGCACACACAGTGGATACTTACCAGGTTTTTTACCAGGTTCTCCAGCTCCTTCTGAGCCTGACGGACAGCTTCCTCTCTCCCTACGATGGTGATCAACTCCTGCTCCGTGTCGTCCGGAGACGGGAAGATGATTCTGGCTCCTGTCTTGTCACGCACACGGCGGATGTTTACTCCTCCACGACCAATCAAGAATTTGTGGTACTCTGGTTTGGCCTGCAGCTCAGCTGTAAAGTTGTTGACTTGCTAAAAAAAGTAAAAATTTAAAAAGGAGATAGCTTGAGCTTCTCTCATTACATCAAAGTCACACCTTTTTTCCCCCTTTATCTCTCTATCTCTTGACTCGACCTTTTGACATTTCTCCGCTGACTCCCACTGACCTTTTCTTCTGCCAGCTGCAGCAGTTGTTTCTTGGCCTTCTCCACTTCTCCAACGGGGCCTCTGATGGTGACCTTGTCTGAACCTGAGCCCTCAGAGGGGAAATGGATGTGGACGCCGCCACAGTCCTCCATAATGGAGCGCACGAGGCAGCCCTTAGAGCCAATCAGAGAGTTGTGTAGTTTGGCTGGGATGGTAACCTCAGTCTCTTTAATGTTTGCCTAAATGGTTGATAAAGAGTGCATATAGTCAAAAAATAATTGTAGGAAAATAAAATAAAGCCATCTTTCAATTGAGAATAACATGCAAAACTGTCAAACCAGTTCTCTTTGAATGGCCAGAATTCTGTCTCTGGCTGCGTCACAGTTGTTCTTCTTTCCTGTGATGACGATCATCTCTGAGTTACTGTTCTCAGTCGGTAGGTCGATCTTAGTGTTGGTCTCTTCACGGATCTGAGGACAAGACCCAAACCCTATCAATTATCTTGCATCTTTCTTACTTGTCAAAATGAGCTGTGTAAACTAAGATATGGAAGTGGCCACTCAAATAAACATAACATTTTTTTAATTTTTTAAATTATTTTACAGCTTTAAAGTTTCACCTTTTTGATGTTGGCTCCTCCTTTTCCTATGATGTTTTTGTGGAATTGTTTAAAGATGGGAACAGAGAGCGAGAAGCTGTTCTCAATCTACGAAAGAATAAAAGTTGCTGTCACATCAAAAGTGGAGGAACAAAAAAAAAAATGTAATTACAAAGACGGAGAGCCGCACCAGTTCGGCAATGATTTTCTGGAGAAACTTGGCACATTTCTCCACCTCATTCTTCGGCCCTCTTAGCTGGACAATGTCACTTTTTTGCGACGGGTCGGGAAAATTAATAATGACCTGGAAACAAAAAATAAAATGGTCATTAGGTGAGTTAGAACTAGTTTTTCATGCTGATAAATATTCAGTGCTGATATCAGAAAGAGTCAATTCACCTCAGGGAACTTATCTCGAACTTCTTTGATCTTCTCCCCCTTCTGGCCAATGATTGTCCGATGAAACCTCTGCTCCACTATCAGGTCTTTGGTGCGTTCATTCTCCTGTCATTAAGAATTTCAAATATTAAAGGTTTTCTTTGACCTTGGTTCAATTTTATCTTGGCTCATTCTGACCCATTCCCACCATTCTCTGGACCATCTCAATGAGTTCTCTGCGTGCCAGCTGCACTCCTTTAGGGTCTCCTTCGATCCGGACTAAACTACTCCTCTCTGAGTCCTGTGGGATCCGTACTAAAACTTTGTACTGCTCCTTGATCCGATTGACTGCAGGAATGAATGAAGAAAAGTGAAGAAAAGTGAGTCCCTGACTAAGCACCAATGATTTACACAGCTGGTTCAATGTTGCTCTATAGCAGCAGTGGCCCGCCGCACTATTGGCCCTGGGTGATAACAAGCCGCCAGTCACTAGGTGGCAGCAACTCATATAGAGGTTTGAACAGACTAAAATATACATGTTATCAGGTTCTCAATAGTATTTCAATTCGCGGGGCTGTGAGGGTGGCGGGGCCGTAAATGAGAACCACTGCTCTGTAGAAACACTATCATTTTTATATGCAATACAAATATTAATATCCTGTTTCCTCTGAAACTTCATAATGGAGTAAAAGGCATTGCCTTTTTTAAGACTGTCACTTGACTACTCACTGTTTGCTCCATTTTTTCCAATCAGGTGTCTGTGGAAACGCTGGTCTATGATCACTTCAGTGTAGTCCATCCTCACCAACTGAACAGGAGAAAGAAATGTTAAAAAATTGCCTCAGGACTTCACTAAGAGCTTCAGCTTCAGTCCAAGTAAGCTGCCATGTCGTCTTTGTTATACTCCCTAATTCAATGCAATTCAATGTGACAAAAACAAGACCGTAGAGATTTTTACCTTACTTTAAAACAATCAGTTGAATTGTCTTATTTGCTGTCTAAGTACTGACCAGGTCCTTAATGATCTCCTGTATCTGAGCCTGAGCTTGTTCCACCTCCTCCGTCGGCCCCTCCAGACTGATGCGCTCTTCACCGTCTGTGAACTCAATATGAACCTGCACAGACAAGGGAAAGTGACCTGGTTTAAATAAAAGAAACACAAACACAAACACACACACTCCGTCACCTGCATCACTGCCTCTGATGTCTGTAACAACGAGTTTCCAACTTGTGTTCTGTCAATTTGGTGTCAACCCATTTCTCTCTCTGATTCTTTTACGTGACACCCATAGTGCGCAAAAGATACAAGTTCAAGCACGCTGACACTGGTGTGACAGAAAGAAGGATTTGTGCCAGGTACTTTTCTCCACACCTGTTCCCTCTTCACCCTTACCCGTGGAAGCTGCTGTGTGATCCGTCCGATGTTCTGTCCTTTCTTGCCGATGATGAAACGATGCAACCAGGCAGGAGCAGTAACTTCCACCACCATCACACTCTTCGCCTTCACAGAGAACACAAATCTGAGTGATCGCCAGAGGCCAACATCTACTTTGTTTCTTCTCCATGTCCTCCTCACCCTCTCCCCTCACCTTGGCGTAGACCTGTGTGAGTGCTGGTCCTAGTTTGTCAGGCTCCCCTCTGAGGATGATGGTCTCTGATCCTGAGTCCAGAGGAGGCATCTCCACAGATACTCCTGTTGCCTCCAGGATCTCCTGCAAGGTGTTTCCCTTTGGCCCAATGATGTATTTATGCTGGGACTTCTTCACCTCCACAGAGATGGTGGTGGTTTTCCTCTTCTAAAGGGTGGACAGGGACAAGGTGAGGTCACACAGAAACGGATCTCCATCAGAACAACATGGACAGGTGGTCAGCAAAGACAAATGATTAGAGAAAAAAAACAGGAAAGAAGAAGAACATCAGACGGACAGGTACTAAAGGAGTAAAGAAGAAAGATGGAACTGTTTGTCTCCTGTACATGAACACAGTTACATTAGCATTCTGATCCTGGTGCTCTCTGCTAAAATCCAATTTTTTCACCACATTATCTCTGGCTTGTCTTTCTACAGCTCTCATCCGGAGCACACATAAAAACAAATACTTCCTCCCCCTGTCTCATCAATTCGGCTTCTTTACTTTCTCCTCAGATTGACTAAAGTAAACATTTTCATTTTAGCCAAGTTAAAGCCTTTGTCTCATCAGAGGGGGAAAACAGCAGAAATTTGTTGCAGTGATTTTAACATTTGCATTCAGCTGTGATCACACACAGACAAAGAACTGAACATCTTCTGTTTTATTTACTGTTGCTTACTGTTAAACATTTTACAACATGTACTGTATGATAATAACACAAATAGAAATAAACACCAGTGAGTGATCTGGTCATTGTGAATGTGATGCATGAATCCAAGGTTAACACCAGTTATTGTAGTCAAGAGGAAGATATGAAAACAATGGAACAAAAGGATTCTGCAGTCCCAGAGTACTTCATACTGCAGGTTCCCTTTTTCCATTTATCTAAACCTGGATATTTAAACACACTGCAGATAAATGAGTCTTTTTGTTTCAGCTGTTCCCGCCACAGTCGATCATCCATCTCATCTGATTCTAATGCAAGCAAACTGTGTGATGAAAATAAACTTATGTTTATTGTAAAATGTATTCATATAATTTACAAGTTTTCAATTTAAACAAACATAAAAACAAATACAAATCAGTTCATCCAAGTCTCTGTTCCTTTTCAATTTAAACAAACACAAATCAGTTCATCCAAGTCTCTGTTCTTGTCTATGTCTACACTGTCATTAACATCCCTTGTCATGAAGTGACATTGCTGTGTTGTGGACATGAAGGAACTCATTTTGTGGCATCAGACTGACAGAAATAATAAAAAATGAAGCGACCGTGGAAGGTGTTAAGAAATCGATTTTTCCTTTTTTTTTGAAGAAAAATGGTGCTCGGCATTTTGGAAATATGCTCCATCATGAGGGAATGATTTTCAATCATCACAGGAAACACTTCCTTACCTTATCGTCATATATGGCTCGGATACGGTTGACAGCCAGAGCCACAGCATCCTTCTCACCAGTGATGACGATCTCATCCTTGGGCAGACTGGGTGGAGGGATGCTGATGCGTGCTCCCGTCTCCTGACTCAGTTCCTGCACCAAGCGGTTGTGGGCGCCAGCGATGAAGGGGTGAAAGGCCTTCTCCAGGGACAGACGCTCCACTGCACGTTTGTCCTGGTGAGTGGGTAAGTGAGGACACAAACACTTGATTACCTGACAGAATCAGACTACAAATAAATATGAAAAATACCAATAATTTCAAACGCTTCTCTTACTTCTTTTTGCACATATTTGCAGTACAAGGTAATCCAGTTTACTAACCTGTTCTGCAGAGATGAGAAGGATCTCGTGACGAGCTTTCTCAATGCCCTCTTTGGTGCCGGTGATGCGGATGTTGGCGCTCGGGTCGTCAGGGCGTGGAATAGCGATCTTTGTTGCCGTCTTCAGCTCCAGCTCCTGCAGCTTGTCTCCGTTTTTACCAATGACAAAGCGATGGTGTTCCTTAGGGATAGCAACTGTAGCTGAAGCCTGTGAAAGAAAAATGAGATTAAATTATGCGACAGGACAATAAAATAACAGGATGAGGAACCATTACCCTGCCTGGACTGATTTTACTAGCATTATATAAATCTCCATAATGAGATAGGGCTCACACATTTCCATAAAAGTACAATGGTTGATGCAGCAGTTTTAGATTACACATATATTTCACATAAAAGACAGGTTTCTAGTATTTTTCCACTGCTACAAATATAAAACTTCTTTGTTTATGTCTGGATCATCTCATCTCTAAATCTGAAACTCTTTGAGATCCAATTTTAAAATATGAATATGAGAATTCAGTCAGACAAAAGCAATAAAAACCTATTGATCAGTTTGAGTGGTTATCAGAGCATTTTTGGTTTGTTCTTTTATGTAAATAAAATGTAAAAATCTTGCCTGAACGGAACTCAACTTCGGTTCAAGCTAAGCCTCAGCTGACCTGTGTCTGCAGACGAGCCACAATTTCCTTGCGAGCCTTCATGACTGACTCCAGTTTTCCTGTGACCATGATAGACAGGCCCTGGTCTTTAGCCAGAGACAGCTCGATGTGGGCCCCCGTCCGCTGCATGATTTCTAGGCAAACCTTGGCTTCCTCGCCCTCTCCAAACTGACTGTTGTCCTTGTAGCGACGTTCCTCCAGGGGCACATGGAAAACCTGAGGACAGGGTCAGGTTGAGAGGGAAGGAGTGTGAATCTTTACTTTACTGCAGATAACATGTCTTTTGAAGCTCAGTTTTTAAGAGAAGTTTATTTTGATTCAAGTGTTTCAGATGAATTGCATTAAACAGAATAAATACAAAGACAAATATTTTGCGAGAATTCTTTTATGTAGCAGCAAGTGTGTTTAGTGTTCGCCAAGTCTAAGAAAAGTCAACTTGTGTTCTTCCAATTACATACTTGTGTGCGGCTGCTTATATGTAGGTGTGTCTGTTTGACCTGGGTGATGACAGAGGCTTTGATGGGCCTGATCTTGCTGCCCCATGCTGACACCGGCTCCCCAGCCTTCTCTCCTGGTGCTCCCTTCTCTGGCAGAGGTGGGAAGGCCTCCAGGTAGGTAGGGATGTAGGCCTCGTCCTCTGGGACGCAGCCTGGCGCAGAGAGACGGTGATAAAAAAGGATAAGGACAAAAGAAGAAAACGGTATTCAAGGAAGGAGGACAACAAGGGAGATGACAACAATTCCCTACTCAGCAGGTCGAGCAAACAGAAAGAGCAGCCACTTAGAGAGATGAAAAAATATTTGATGTTGTAAGTTGATCTATGTTTCAGTAGCTTGGGATCCCAAACCAAAACCCAACAAGAGTAGGTAAGAAGTAAGACCATAAGACAAACCTGCGATCTCCTGGTCTTTCAGGCCACTACGATGCTCGGCAAAGCTCTCCGGGGTCAACACTGCCACAGAGCTCATGGTTCAAGACTTATTCCGCTATTCCACTAAAAAGGAATAGAAAATTGTATAGAAGAGAAAGGAGACTATTTTATCTTAGATGAGACAATTTAATACTGGGTCTTCCTGACGTTTCATATAAACAAAATGATAAAATCAAACACTTCATTCCAACCATGTCTCTCATCTTTGTTTTACACTTGTTTATCTTCTACCATTGTTACACAAAGCCCCAGAAGCCTGAGGTTGCATCTGTGGTATGGATATGGATTGCACTGATGCAGCACTCAACACCTGAGGTGCTCCAATTAACACTGTACACGCCTCAGACAAACAGAATGAAACAAAGCCAGAGGGAAACGTCGCAAAGAAAATAGCTGCTCTTTACTCAAAACACTAGCTGCACACATTCCTTGTGAAAAAGAGGCTGACTGAAGTTTATGACAAGGTGTGTTAAACATCCGGATATGCTTTAACATCTTTAATGGCTCCACATAGTGTCAGTCTTGACAGTAGCAGAAACAAATTTAGTTAAACCTTAATATAAAGTGCCATTTATTAACAGGCAAAACAACAGAGAAGGCTCGTTGTAGATGGATAAAATACAATTCAAGCATTTAAATAAATCATGTTTCTCAATAAGATTTAACACATTTCGAGACCTATAAAGTAACAAGTGAGTCATAATTACAGTTAAAATCAAATCTGTGCATCTGTACATACTTTCTATCTCAGCTGTCAGAATAAGCTGCTGGATGTCCTGCAATTTTGTCTCACTTTCTATTTTTGCTAGCTTTCAAGAAGTTTTTCCTCACTTGTAAACAAACATACAAATTCATCTATATCTTTGTTCTGAAAGTTTCTGTCACAACTGTGACTTTGTGTTATTATCTAAAGCAAGAAGAGAAATTCTAGACTTTTCTTGAAACCATTTCCATGTGGATGTATTCAGATCATAAATGTTGTGTAATGTATAAATCTGATTTCTACCTAAAAACCTGAACAAAAACACAGAAATAATATTTTGACAATGCCTGGTTTACCTACAGTTAGTCCAGTGTTACCTGCAAAAGGTCAAATGCCAGAGAGTCCGTCCAGTTAGCTGCTACCGTAGGCGCTTCAGTGTGAGTGTGTTTTTCAGCTCCTGAGGGAACATGAGGAAAAATATAACTAAAAGTCATATTTGTAAATCAAAAACTTTGACTGCACAGTCTCTAACACACACATCCACACACACTCACAGCACCTTGTTTTGTTATGATCTGATTCACTGTCCCTCTTTTGCTCCCCTCCTTTTTTCCTGCTCAAACCATGGATCTTTACATTATTGTTTTACAGGGTCATAAAAAACATATTTCCGCATTATGCAAGTCTTAATAAATTCAGTAATCCAAACTATTGTTTCTTTCATCAACACTCTGATAAATTCAAGCTGTCCTTCCACTGGATTCACATGGAAGTATCATCTCAACACACTGTACTGTTGCTGTTCAATCACACAGACAGCCAAACACAAGCAGTGTAGCCGATGACTGTCCTATCATTGTTTTACATTCAGAACGAATTCGATGTAAAACCATGTGCAAGAAATGAAAAAAAAAAAATTACTTGTAAGATTAAGAATAATAGGAAACTGAATAGTAGGAAAAACTAAACCACTGCATTCAGTTCAAATTAACAATTGAACAAATACTCACGCATAAAAATGCAGTAAAAATATGTGTTGCAGCAGTGTTAATATTATCCTGTCCTTGAGCGTTACAGATGTATTCACATGACCCATATTTTGGGTCACAACCTACCATTTGAATACCAACCTTATGCTGCAGCATGGATGACCAGATTCTCTCTGGGTCTTTTGCATTTTACTTACTGGTAAATAATGGATCTTTTTTTTTTTTTTTAATTCATCAGTAATTAATTACGTTGAACGTTTACAATGTATAAAGATCTTTTTGGCTTCACATAACTTTTTTATTTTAAATTTTTATTTTAATCTACTGCAAATTAAAAGAAATAAATCTACATTGTAATGTTAATAATTAATAGAGTTGCTAGTCTCGTATTGTGGATTAGCAATATATTGTAAAATAAAGATAATCTGCTTATTTGGATACTTAAGTCAGGACACAAAACAAAAGAGCTGTTTGCTTACTGCAGCCATACACTGTGACCATCAACACAAATATGCTACTAATATGGAAATTGTAAATTTGAATAAAAATAATAAACTGCACTGTTTTGATTTGTTTTTTCAGCAACGTTCGGTTTCAAGCACAGGCTGCACTGTTTTGATTTGTTTTTATTTCAGCAACGTTCGGTTTCAAGCACAGTCTTGAAAGTACATAATTTTACCGTTTCTGTCTGCTTGCTGAGGGATGCGCTGCATGGATGGCTGTTACCGTTAGCTCCAGGGCTACGTTGTCCTCTGCTAACACCAAGCAACAAAAAAAGCTCTAGCGTGTTGTTAGCCGTGCACCCTAAGCTAAAGCACATCACCAAGCTGCGACCTCAGCCAGAGGGTGATTAGGACACAAGGACCTTCTGATAATCGGCTAAACACAAGCCGGGCAGCAGGATAGGCAGGCAGTGCAGGCAGATAACCAGCCCATGAGCGCTAGCAGCGGGAACGCTAAAAAGGCTAACACCAGCGGCTTTTCCGTTGATTAAAACCCCGGCTTGGCTTCTTTAGCTGCCCCGCTAATGTGTTTATGTTTTTTTTTATTTAAAAATATAATTAAAATAGAGAGAGAGGTCCTACCTTTCAGAGAGAAAATACAACGGAGGGTGTGTTTGACAGGTGATGCTGTAAACACAGATGTGATTGGTCTGAGTGCATTTCCCCTACCGGCGGACGGATACAGTCTAAACGCTCACTGCTATTCACGAGTTTAAAGTAAATGCCGCAGTATCTTTGCGCACAAGAGCATCCGAGTTAAATAGTACCGCGTTGTAGGTTTCTTTCTTTTATCGTTGCTCTACTGTTATCATCAGTAGTTCAAATAAACATTGTAACGTGATTTAAATGGAAAATGATTGGATATTTTAAGTTAGAATTTCCGTAAAGACGAACATCTACTATTAAACTGACCGGGTCTACTTCTCATTCATAATGGTCTGACGTGCTTTGCAGAAGTCATAGCAGAGGTTATTATTATGAGTTATTATGATAATTATCGTTCGTTTATATCAGTATTGAAATATATTTCCGTGAAGATTTTAAACAGGTTGGAAATGTAACCAAATTAAACTATATTATTACTGTATTATATTAATCTCTAAATAGCTACATTTGAAATAACATAAACAGCATCGCTGTACTCTTACAAAGGAATACATTGCATTTTTTCACAAAATATTATCAAGTACAGGTACAGAACAATTAAGATCTGACTTGTAGTTTTATTAACGGTGCTTTTCTGACGAAAATAAAACGTCGGTTACGACTTTTACTGAAAATCAAAGTTATTATCAAAACAAAACGAATTCATTTAAATGTTTTAATTAATTAATTAATTAATTAATTAATTAATTAAAGTAATTTAAAACAGCATTACAGCCCAAATGTGTTTGGGAAAAACATATTCGCAATGGATGTACTTGTAATCATTTCTTTATTTAGTCTGTTCATGTCAGTTCCAATCTAAGCCACTAGAGGAAAGTATAGGACAATAAATATGAATATGCAGAGAAGGGCATCAGCGCCCCTTCTTATAAATACGTCAGTCGACAAAGCTATAGAACATATAGACTAAATAAATATTCTATACAAATTATGTTATCCTCACTTATGATCTATGCTTATCTAATTATGTTATTTAATCAAAAAACAATGTCGTTCACTATTTGTACCCAGCTTGCACAAATCACCACTTTTACATATACGTATTATATATTCTTTATTAGACCAATAAAGATTATTAGATATATTAGAAAAAAATATGAGTTTATGTAGTCGATTAACATGAATTTAAAAATAAATTGTCAAATTAAATAAATGTCAATAATTAACATGTAAAATTAATGTTCGAAATATTGCCTTTTTATTTTTTTATTTATAAAAAAAGTCTAAATGGTTCAAACAAATTTTTATTTTAAAAAAAGGGGTTTTTAAAATAAGGCTGGTAAATTATTTGTTTTGAAGGAAACTTAGACAAAACTGTCTGGCGACAGAAATTCTAGTTTTCTCGCCATACAAGTAATCGCCACTTTTATTTTGAAAATAGCGGAAACTTTAATCGTTACAACAGGTAAATTGACAGCATGAGCGTTGTCCCTCCTGCCTCACTTACTCTCCCTCAGTCTCTCCTTTTCATAGACGCTGCGGGTAACAAAGAGGAGACAACAGCAGGAGGAGAATGGGTGTTCACACAACAAGCCTGTCAGAACAAATCCTAACAACAAATTGAAACGCTTCGTTTCATTTAAAATTTTAAACAGTGAAAGAATGATTACAACGCACTAACGTAGCTGCGCCCAGGACCTATTTTACCCGTGAGCATTTTTTTTCCTGCACTGGAGATACGAAGTAATACAACACTAGTGCCAAATGACAGAGGGAACACAACCAGACATGTCCGAATAAGATTGGTAAGTTAAATTTCGTGAAAATATGTATTTCAAAGTGATATTATTCAATTATTGGTCGTTCATTAAGTGCGGTTTCGTTCACTTTCACGTTTCTGGTCTGTAAGCACCTGTTTCCACGAGGTAATTGATGAAATAGTAGAAGAAAAGGTTATTATGACAATGAATTACTATGTAATAATGTGTCATTACTACAATATTCAAGGTGAACAATACGAATATTAGTTGGATTGATTATTAATATCGGTCCTAACCTAACCTAAATTTTTAGCGTAGGATCCCGAAAGCTAGGCGTAGGTGCTGTCAACCTTTGTATTTTTGTAAAAGCTGCTATTATTTTTTATTTTTCTTTGAGTGTGTTTTCATTTCCTTTACACCATTTCCTTCCCTGCTTCCTGGCCAACGTGGAATACAGTCACATCACATGTATTATTGTTCTGGTTGGTATCCACTCAGACAGGGGCAGCTCTCTTAAAGCCCCCCATACTCTATTAACACATACACACACGCTGGCCCATTAGCCACTCTCCAGAGCAGATGGCTATCTGTATACACACACGCACACCCACTCACTCACACCCTCAGCATTGTGTTAATGTAAAGCCTTTTACAGCACTTAAGGATTGTGCTCAGCATGATCTGATTTAAGGCATCACACCGTTTCTGAAGTGCATTGGAATCACCAGGACACACACTGGAAAGAATGGACAGTCCACTGACCCACTCGTGCATCAAGTCCATTCGACTTAAGAATGTAGCTATTGAACAAACCAGGTCGAAATACCAAGACAGACAAAAGATCTAAAGTCATGGGGTTGGGGGAGATGTAACCCTGTGTGTACCCTAGTGTGTTTTATAACACAGTTTCAGATTGTTTTCTCCACAAGACCGGTGCTTTGTGAGGGAACACACACCCACCCAATAGAGGTTTATGTGTCTTTCTGCAGACAATGGTTATAACCAGGGGGCCAAAACTGAAACCTTTAAAACTGTGTGCACCCCACTCCTGCGGTATTGTAGTCCCTTCTGACTTTAAATGTTTAAAAAAAAAACTCAAGTTAAAAAAATACACGTACGTTATTATTTCAAGTTTGTTTGTTGTATTTTCTTTTGGTAAACCAGCAAGAAGTAGAAGTTAAGAAGTAGGAAACCTGTGAAACAATCCATAACCCCAACACTTACAGTACTGCATGTTTGGACAACAGTTAGGAAAATGTTGAAAGTGATTTTTTTTTTCCCACAGACTTGATTACAAATTTCTTAGGACAGAACCGGAGGAAATGTACAAAGTATGTGACAAAAATGTGAACAATTTGCGAAAATAATGACTGCAGAAAATTTGTTTAAGGAACATAAACAAATATTCATATACTCACTTCATATCTGTGAAGGAAATAAATCTACTTAAGAAACAGTTTGCTCAGAATTAGCAAAATAATAGTAACTAAAATAATCATAGCAAAAAAATGAAGCAAAAATGTATCAATATGAGCTCAAATATTAATAATATTGGTTATTGCATAATTTCTATGGGTTTAACACGCACTGACACTTGTTTCATTTTCACATTTACATTTTGAATTGAATAAATCTAAAACATACCATGCACAATTAATACAACACTTAAACATAAACATCTTTATCAACATTTCTAAACACCACTCCTGTGGTAGAAGCTAACAGTGAAGGCCTCTGCTGCTGTATTCTAATGTTGGTCATCATGGTACCACCATGATGACCAACATCATCAGAGAGCTATGTTTTCTCAGGTGGTACAGAGTATAACAAGTTTGAGAACCACTGTCCTACAACTATTAATTCATCTCTTTCAGTTTGTAAATACCTGGATGTAGCTGTTAGTAATGCGAACATACTCAGTGCAAACTGAAACGTGACACCCTGTCTGTCTCTTTATTCTATGATCACTGACTCCTTCGAACTGGTCCAACGTGCTGGTGCACTTTTTATTCTTGTTGACGTTGAAGGCTCTCAGGTCAGATTGTTTGTTGTCACCAGCTGGTATTAGGCAATGCTGTTAGAGTCTTATGGAATTACAATACATAAAAAAACATATTTACATTCCACAATCTTTGTGGATTACTTATTGTTATTATTTATTATTAAATTTACTCTACAATCAAGAAATAGAAGTCAAAATAACGTTATAGTTTGTGGCTTTAAAGTCTCCAGATAAACACATATGTAAAACATCACCTTTTAGCAGACATCAGTTTTTTATCTAAAAACGTTCAGTATTTGTATGGCTCAGATTTTCTTAATCCACACCCATGCATGCTGAGACGACAGTATTGGAATGTGGAATAAGGGGATTGTCCCTTTAAGCGACACACCAAGCCATATACAATCTTATCTGAGCTCCATGCTCCGTCTGCATGAGTCAGAGGATGAGTATCCCCTTCCTCTGGTTTGATATTGCATCAGCTGTTGGGAGCACGTATCAAAAAAATCTAAAACACATGGCAAGGGGAATCTGCAGCGTGGACATTTGGTCAACCAGAATGGAAAGAGAATTTCATCACAGGTTTTTTTATAGACATATTTATAGAAAAAGAATCTCAGTGGTTAGTTTGACTGCCTCAGTTCACTGACTGGACTGCTTTGATTAGGGAAATCTCTTTGAGTGCTTTTGTCTGCGTCTGCTCACAGGATCGGTGATCCCTTCGAAAATCTCACATAGTTCTTGGTTTTATTAATAATCAAGTCACATTTGTTTAACTACTGTAGAGGTTTATAATGACTTTCTAAAATTCCTCCAAAGAGATCCATCTCTCAGCCAAGCCGAGCACAGACATGTTTCAGCTGAGGTTTTTTCTTCTTTACATTGAAACATGAATACATGATTGTTTTTGAAATTACCTGAAATTAAGAACAATTAGTAATATGTTCACTGACATTATTTATGAATTAAGTTGTTTTTTTTATAGTAAACTTGCCCTCAAACTGAATTCACAGGCTTTACTTATTAAATAGGTCTTTGTCGTCTTCATCTGTACAGGACAACGTCACAGTAGCTGTGACTTTATGCTTCTGGCGTCCCCTCAGTAAGTGACGGGTCAGATTTCACATTAGCTTTTGTTACGCTGTTTTTGTGGGATTATATTCTCACCAGGAAGAAGTGAGCTCTTAAAAGTCCAAAGTCCATTCTCCTCAGAGGCCTTACAGTCAGGCATTTGCTTCTCAGGATTCTCAGGACGCCTCTGATCTGATGACTGCACCGTAATGTTTACTGGCTTTTCACAAATATTTGTTCCACTGGAAGATTTATTATGTTCCTTTTAAATGGGTCACTAGTACAGAAAGGCTTTTGTGTACTAGGGACCAGGTCTGTAATAATCTTGGGATTTGCGATCTATTACCAAGTAGAAAAGTCTACCCCTGCCTGTTGTGTAGTTCATTTACTGTGATTTTTACGGATTTACTGTGTACACCTCCACCAAGACAGTCACTGTCCTACACATTGACTCTAACATTCTAGCCTCAAATGTGGCTAAGCTGCTCTAACAAGAACATGTTTTTGTAGAGGTTTCTTACTTTGAGCAGTCAGTCTTGTCTGAGGTTCAGCTAAACCAAGCTAATCCTGCTAACAGTGATATGGATGCAAGAAAAATGTGGTTAAAATCCTGTTGTTTTTTTTCTTTGATCAACAGATCGTGATCATAACGGTCAAAGACTGACCTTTGAGCTCACAGCCTGACCTCTGATTGGTCAAGGCTAAAAGAGATAAACCACTGTAGGACAACACCAGCTCCAACCACAATGTCTGTCCAGGATGCTTCAGAGGGGCCTTCCTTGCCTTCATGCCTCAAACCTGAAGCCAGGGCAAGACCACGGATTCTTCCGAAACCTACAGCAACACAGAGCAGTTCTCCTCCACCGGGAGAGAGCAGCAACACTACGGATTTTACCACTGGTAAAGTCAAAAGGATTGTTAACAAGTTCAGCAAACATGAGGAACCTCCCACTAACGGGACCACAAAAATTAAACCAATTAGGCGATCAGGGAGACCGCCGACAATCAAGCCCAAACCACAGTCCACAGGTGCGAAGGCTCCAGTAAGTTCAGCACATGCTCCTCCACTGCCCATGAAGAGGAGTCGCCTGCTGCAGAAGCAGAAAGAGCTCTCAGGAGAAGAGGAGGGAGCCGGGGTCAGTGTGGAAATCAGCCGATCAGGTAAAGTGAACCTTTTTACCTGATGTTTACCTACACAGTTCAACTCACTTTTTATGACATACACACCCAACCATCGTGCTGATGACGGCTCCCCGTGCAGAAACGTCCGCCCCTTTAAGAATAGGATGGGAAAACTTTATTAACGTGTGGGTGGAATGTTGAGCAGATTAGATTTGGATTATGAGTTCATTAAAAGGGTCACCTATCGATGATGTTTGAAAGATTATTGTCACGTGACTTCTGTGAGAGAAACCTGAAGCTGCTTTTGTTCTGCAGGTCAAAGGTCAGCTGATTACACTGTGAATTACAGAATGATTCTTTCGGGGGGGGGGGTTAGTGTAAACCTATTTTTTGTTCAGGGTCATTTACTGTGTCCAAAGTAAAATAAAAATAAAAAGCATATGTGTGTGACTACAATAGTGGTAGTCTTGAGAATCTGGGTGTTGTTCAAAGCCAGGTGTGGTGCTCCTCAACAGTCGTTAACAGGTTCTGTCAGTCACCTGATCACCTGTGCTCACACGTATTAGTGTGTGTGTGTGTGTGTGTGTGTGTACAGTGTGTGCTTCTGTCTGTGAAAGGACCAATCTGACTGTGAGACCTTCAGACTTTATCTAGTGACACCACTGCACACAGTTGTTAAATTTGACGGCTCATAAATGGGTGGGTGCTGGTCTGTCAATGTGGGTTTATTTTCATTAAATATAGTATCTCATATACATACTCTCTACTTCCTAGAGTATATATCTGCTGTACTCCCCACCACCAGTTAGATCTGAAGAAGCCTCTTGGATGAGAGGTGAAACGTCTTCTTTTAGAAAATTCACGTCCAGTTACCTAACAGAACTTTTTAACTACTTCCTGGTTGTGCTTCCCCTCATAAATACTTGAAGGTAGTTTCACTTTTGATGTTGACTGTAGGTTGCAGGTTGATCCTCACTGTTTTTTGTGGCTTTATAAAATGGGAACATGATTTTACTGTTGGCCTGATTGAAGGTCTCCCTCTTCTTGTTCATATGATTCTATATCACTTCTCTGTTTTGGTTCCTAGTGAAAGACGCAAATGCTTTTAGTTCAGCAAGTATTTAATATAAAGGAGGGATTGTAAGAATAAAACTAGGAATTCAACAATGATCTCTGTGGAACGTGTCATTCAGATGGTTGGCTTTTGAAGCTGTTGAAATAGCAGAATGCCGTATCTCTGACCTTTGAGTGCAATACTGCGGGATATTTTATGGGCATCACAAAGTACCTTATGTGGATTAATCTCATGCAGATGGGCGTTGACACAAATGACCTAGGGAAAACCCAATTGCACAAATGAAAAGATGTACACAGGAAGTTTTAACAGAGTGGCAGAGTTTTTATTTTTTATTTTTTAAGGGATGGGGCCGTTCACATGTGCCCGTATATCGTGTGGCTCCTTGCAGTAACACAGTAAAAATTGTGGCTCTTAGCCTCTGACTGGTTGGCCGCCCCTGGTCTAGATCATTTGGTTAAACTATGGTTCACGTACCACTGGTGGAGACAGTGTCTGAACAGAAAATGTGCACATTAGAACACAGGACATCTTCATTTTCAAGACAACAAAAACAACATTAAACATTAAAGTATTGTTTGCAAAATACTTTTGTCCCCACAGCAGTATTTACCCATTATTTGCCCCATTTTTACATTAAACTTAAAACATTAAGCACCGTTAAGATCATTTGTTACCAAAAGTAATATCTGGCCTATACTTCTTCCTCCATTGCTTTAATCTCTCACTGTCTTCTTTTATTTCTCCATTTCTTCCTGTCAATACTGAATGTTTCCTTTGAAATGATCCAAACTTTCCATGAATATTTGAAGACACTACTAAGGCACTGCGCCATAGTCAAGTGATGACTCGACAGTGCAACGCAGGCAGTAAGAGCAGCTGGAAGATATAAAAATCTCTTGATCAAAGTGAGCATCACTGTGTGTGTGATGAAGATTTTTGCAACAAATAATAATAAAAAAACAGAAACCATTTTCTCTCACAACAGAAACACAAGAAACTATTAGAAGTGCACACGCAGCTAATATGTCTCTATCATTTGATGCAGAGCCTGATGGGAAAGAGGTGGAGGTGGAGCTGGTTGGAGGAGATGAAGCTCCCGAGGTGGAGCACAATCCAGACGACCTTCTGAGTCGCTGTGACCCCAGCTGTGGGTGTGTGTGCCACATACAGCATCCTGGCATGAAGCTGATATGGGTGCCTGTAGATTTTGAAGATGGTGGGCAGAGTGAGATAGGAGAGGAAGAAGAGGAGGTGGAAGAAGAGGAGGAGATTGATGTGGAGGAGGATGAAGAGGAAGAATCAGAATTGTATGAGCTGGTACATTCAGAAGGGGAGGAGGAGGCCCAGGAGGAGGTTCGAGGGTTTTCTGAGGTGGATGGGAGCGCGGAGCTCAAACAAGATAAAACAAAGTTTAACCAGTGTTTGGACGTTTTGATCGCTGAGGGTTACAGGAGAAGGTCGGACCCCGGTCCTCACATCGTCCTCACCTCCCTGGGTGTCAACCGCTCCCAGTCTCCTCCTGTCCCTCCCAAACAAGGGAAGACACCTCCTGTTTTTCAAACTCTTGTACAACAAGCAGGAGAGAAAGAGGAAGAAGACGATGAAGAGGACAATATTTATGAGACCACCCTTCCACTGGTCAATGATCCTAGTAGAAACCCTGCAGCTCTGTGTAAGGAGCTGGATATTCCTCTCATCAAGGTGCGCAAACCGGCCCGTCGTTCCAAACTGACCTACAGCACTTCAGACCCTACGTCTGAGTTTCAGACCAACGATGACCCTTCCTCCAACTCAGAGGATGTGCCGCCCGCCATTCCCCCTAGAATGCCTTTGATTCCAGAGAGCCGCAGCCACATGCAGCTGCCACGGGGCGCTGTCCCTCTCCCTCAGCCTACACTGGAGGAGTGGCGGACCCTGCGACCCGCATCACCCGGCAGTACCTCTAGCAACAACCTGAGCCCACAGCGGGCCATCACACCACCCAGCCCTTTGGTGCCTCAGAGAGCCCCACCCCCACCACCAAAGGCGGATCAGCGGCGGCTCAGCAATGTCTCGCTGCAGGCACCGGTGCCGAGAAAAGGTCAGGTCTTCAGTTTTTGTCTCTCCTTACATCGCAAATTAGAATTGGTAAATACAAACATTTTGTCTCCTTTTCTTTTTAGAAAGTGAAGAAAATGGAGGAAATGAAGACGACGTGGTGGAAGAACTGTGAGCTTAAACCTCTGACACCACATATAAAACACCAAGAACATGCATTCAAAACAATATTGTGCTTAAAAAAACAGAATAATTATCTGTGTAGGTGCGCCATCATTTTTTACCTCTAACTCAACTTTAGCCATAAAGTCCAACAATAACAACAATAGTTATAAAACACAATAGGAAGGAATTCATTAGAGACTGGAGAAATGTGTCAGGTTTACTGGTTCTAAGGCACTTTTTTAAGTAGGGTTAAATATTTTGCCAGGCCTTTAATTTCGTGGCTCTATATTTATGCAGATATAAATAACTCTTTTGTTTACATATCACAATGTTTGATCCTTTTTTGTCCTGTTTCCTATTCCAGAACCAGCTCCGTCAGGAGGGAGTCTTTGTTCAGCTTTGAGTCTCGTCTGCAGGATGGTAAGACCGTCATCGCTACAGCACTTAGCATAAAAACACAGCTAAAAAGCACTTTGTTAGGATCCAAGTGTGTAATTAAGGGAATTTCGCCAAAAGCCATTGTGTTTTTTTGCACAGTGTGTGGGAATGTGTTTTATTCATACTTCATCTGCAACGTACATACTTAGAAAGGAATACTACATGCTTTGAAAAAGTACTTAAATAACACTTAATTATTTCCATTGCTGCTTTAATCAACACTTTTTCAAACCACTTTTATCAGTTCATAGTTTTTAAATAATTTCTGGACTTCAGAATTCAGACTAACTGAGTCAGTTTTTTATTAAGTATATAACAGTATATATAGGTTGCACAGATGTTTTTTAAAAATTCTAAAAAATTCTTGGTTATTGAAACCTTTTGTCAGCTTTATAGCTAACTGTGAGCAACCTAACATTAAACATAGCATAATAACCAACATGATCATTTTTGGTTGTCTGTCAATTACATCAAACCAAACATCTAGACATTTTGTAGACAAATGTAGTTTAGCTAAATAACTAACAGTTTATTTTACAGCAGTATTTAAGACCTGTTGTGTTTTCTACAAGACTTTTTTTTTTTTTTGAGAAAGCTAAAGATTTTCTTGTGTCCTTGCCCTCAGAGCCTCTCTACCAAACCTACCGTGCTACTGTCATTAACAAGGAGATACGACGACAAACTGTTTCCCGAAACATTAGTAAAACCAGCATAGACTATGCCATGGACATAAATACTCGTCGATCTGGAGCCAGCACTGGGACTGGGACTGGGACAGGGACAGGGCCTCCCAAAGGTAGTCCTGCATCCACACCAACTCAGAGCACGCTGTGGCAGGACCTACCAGCGGTACGAGACAGTGGACTGTTGGAGCAGCTCACATCAGAGCAGTGCAAGTACCAGGAGGTGAGAGGTTTTCAGGGAGGGAGAAGCTAATGTATGGGCAGTGAGAAAAATCAATAGGACGAGGCTGGGAGAAACTGGAGTGGGAGGATGCTGTTAAGGAGTTGTTAATCTAATCTGAAAGTTCTTGTGTGAGGTTTTTATAAAAGAGGTCAATTCTCCTTGTTAGGGTGGTCAGTTTACTCAATTCAAAGCTAAAATAGTCTTAGTCCTTACTTCTTCAATACCCATGCATTGTTTACTAGTAAGGCAAAAACAATTCAAACACCCAGTAGTGCCAGACAGAGCAAAGCAGAGGAAAGAAAGTCCAAAGAAAGCCATGGGGTCTGATTTTATGTTTTTAGATATAATACTTTGTTTATCCCTGCAGAGCATGTTTGAGGTCCTCACTTCAGAAGCTTCCTACCTCCGGTCCCTGAGAGTTCTGACTGAACATTTCCTGGACAGCAGGGACCTGGAGGATACCATGATCATCATGGACAAGAAAACACTCTTCTCCAACATCCTGAGGGTGCGGGAAGTCAGTGAGAGGTGAGATAGAGTAGAAGGAAGGAAGAAGACAAATAAGTGCGTGATGAATGACTTTGACCTGCTAGCAGGGTATTTTATGTTCCGTTTCCTTAGTCTGCTTGTATTCTTAAGTTCTTCCTGTCAGTACAAAGACATGTGACAAGAAACAGATTCCCTGCTTTCTGATTCCACAGATTCTTGAAAGACTTAGAAGGTCGCATATTCCAGGAAGTCATTTTCTGTGACATTTGTGACATCATCCATTACCACGCCCAGCACAAGTTCCCTGTTTACATTGACTACGTTCGCAACCAGATCTACCAAGAAAAAATCTTCACTAAACTCATGTAAGGAGCAGCTCTTCATACTCTGGGCCTAAATCTGTTATTTCTGTATTGGATTTAAAGCCAAAATAAGCTTGGCTATAATTGTGGGAATCAGTGACTCTGGCTGGGTTGGTTTTCACTCTGTGATTTACTGCAACCACAGCCAACAATTCTCTCCTCGTTTTTCTTTTTCTTTTTCTCTCCAGTTTCTAATTTAAAACATCAATGTTTGTACTTCTGAGTCTCCGCAAATTCAGCAACATTTTTCCAACACGAACATTAGACAAGGAGTTAAAGCAGAGGCGGTATCTCGCATGCAATCAGATAACTGCACCACAGCTGCATTACTTAGCATTAACTTGTGGTTATGAACAGACTTTGACTCACATTTATGTGTGTACCTACAGAAAGAACAACGTGCAGTTTGCTGCGGTCATCACCAGACTGCAGGAGTCTCCTCAGTGCCAGCGGCTGCCCTTCATGTCCTTCTTGCTGCTGCCTTTCCAGAGAATAACCCGCATCAAAATGCTGACTGAGGTAAAGGGAAAGTTCACTGGTCAAAAAAAGACATGAGAGAGTTAACTTAGTTAAGCGTGAAGAAATAAATATTGGGTTATGGCTCTGGGCTCTTATGTGTTCTAAAAGCTGCCATTTGAAAACTGTGGTCAATTAAAAGAATATAGTGTTACCTTTGTGCTCCATTTTAATCATCCCTCTGGTCTGCTAATTTCTGATCCCGTCAATGGTCACGTCCAGTGGAAATCTCAGCTTCTTCACTTCTGTTCTCCTCCAGCTAACCCTCCTGCCTGTGGTCGACAGAACCACAGGCACAGTGTGTCTAAACCATACATCATAGCAGGACTCACAGTCTTATAAACCTTCCCTTTTCAACTTTCAACCTTCTATAACAAATCAACTCTGACCATTGTCTACACAGTTGGCATCAAAACAATGCTGTCATCGCACCGTGGTATTAAGTTATTTGGTTTTGGATAGTTCTAGAACATAGTCTTACTCACCTTCTTCCTGGAATAGTTAAAATGACCGACTCCTATCTTGACTGACACGTACCACTGGTGCCATCTAATGATCCGGGGTGTAATAACACTTAATTATGAATTGTAGTTGTGTAAGCGTGTATTTATTTGAGGGCCTTTATGTACCTTTTTCTTTTCTTTTTTCATCTGTCTGGCTCTAGTTTTGTTGACTATTTTGAAAGTGCAGATTATATTATTAGCTGAAGTTATTATCTATCTGCCCTTTGTAGCATAGCCAGTGATCTTCTTCTGAATTTCAAGCACCTTTCAAGCCTTTTTAGGAGCAGGATAAAGATAAACTTAGAAGCTGTACAAATCATATTCTGGCTTCAGAGTTATAGATCTGTTTTAAAAAATTGGATTCATGTCATGGAAAATGTGTGTGATTGTGAGATAAACATTAGAATACTTTTAACACAAAGAAATACTACTTCACCATGTATTTAAAGAGTTTATTTTTAGGACATGACCATGAGCTATTGAAAGGCAGCAGACTAGTTCACCACGGTTTGTTGCTGTAAGGAATGTCCTCATTCCAGTCTAATCTTTCCCCTCATACTCGCCACTGCTTCTTGACCATAGAGTAAACACTGGTTGACACACCTGGTTTGACCTCATCACCTTATTTTTTACAATTTGGATGGAAAACGTTTCCAGTCTGTGCTGTTTGCTCAGTGCCAAAATGGAAAGTCGCTGTTTGTCATTGCAGAACATCCTGAAGAGGACAAAGGAAGGGACGAAAGAAGAGCAGACAGCTTCTAAGGCTTTAGCTTCTATGTCGAAGGTAAACATCTCTTTCTCCTCATGGCCCCTGCCTACGTGTCAGATTATATTTTACCTGCTCATGTGCTTCACATGCCTTTGGAACATCGATGTCAGCCATAGTTTCCATGAAGGATTTCCTATTGAATGAGCTCTGTGGTGACAGTGAGTCATTCCTGTCAGTGAGGACAATGGCACTGGGAATCACAGGGTTTAATTTTGTTCCCTGTGGTCAAAAAAATGAACCTGATATTTCCATTGAGAAAATGAGGTGAGCGAAAATCATAAAGCTGACCTACCCAAACAGCGGCCCATGGGCCACATGCAGCCAAGACACAACATCAGAGTGGCCCAGTCAGCGGTCATTTCAGAAACAGTGAGAGGTTCAGGACTAGCGAGAAATCATAAATCCCTACAGTAGGACAGACCATGAATGGAACATTCTCTGTAGCCTAGCAACATGCGACCCACAATGCATCACTTGTGTATCTTGAAGTGTTTGCAGTTTGCTATACCGCAACATGACTCTCTTAAAGCTGAAATTCAAATCACAAATGAAAACTTTCTGTGTTTATTTTGCAAAATCCAGGCTCTGAATTGTATTAGCCACCGAAAATGTCTAGCACAGTTGACTTTTTTGGTTGAAAACTCATCATAAAGTAATCCATCATGTTTTCTTTTCTCTTTTTTCCAAGATTATTGATGAGTGTAACACTCAAGTAGGGAAGATGAGACAGATGGAGGAGCTCATCCTTATCTCTCAGACACTGGAGTTTGACAAACTCAGGGTAAATGCAGGTCTTTTTAATTGACCAGCCTTCCAGCTGCATGGTTACTTCCTAAATAATTGACTGTTTTGGTTTTTTTTGTATTTTACTCCTGTTATCTTCAGGCCATCCCCATCATCTCCCAGAATCGATACCTGGAGAAGAAGGGAGATCTGCAAGAAATGTCCAAAGGAGGAACTCTCTTCAACATGAGGGTGAAGTTCAATCCCGTCTACCTCTTCCTCTTCAACGATCTCCTCATCATTGCTTCCAAAAAAGGGTGAGACAAAGCTTAGTTAAACAC